CATATATACACATATTTTTACATGTCTACACATATTTTTATGTGTTTACACATATATTTCGCATATAAAAATGTCTTATACTTTGAGATATCTATAGAGAAACAAAATATAAAAATAAAAAATTAGGAAAGACCATATATAACGGATCGGATACACGGATAAACGGTTATTTAAACGGATGTCAATGCGGAGCGGATTATAAACGGATCGGATGTATGATTACCAAATCCGTATCCGTTTAGCAATCGGATATCCTTAATCGGATACGGATAATAACCGTTTTTAACGGATGCGGATATTTTCTATATAAACGGATACGGATGCGGACGGTAATCGAATTTTCGGTTATCCGTTTACAGCCCTAGAGTTATTAACCACTCCCTCCTTCCTTCCTACATCCAGATGTACCGTGTTTTGCATGTATCTAAATTACATTTCATTTTTGAATAACTGATTACTCATTTTCGAGTAACTAATTATTCATTTTCCAACATAATTAAAGTTTAGAAAAAAGAAGTGTTCAATTACTCGAAAATGAGGATTCAATTGTTCAAAAATGAGTATTCAGTAGCTAGTAATTTAGTACTAACCGCGGTTACAGGAAATATCGTATGACGATTGTACGGTATATATTGTGTCCTTAGTGTGTTCAGAAGCATAGCTCAACTGGTCAAATTAAATAGGATGAAATGTTTAGGCTTTGCATTAAGATTATAATTTGGTTCACCTCTCTTTCAATCAATTTCCTACACCAAAGGTGTACCCCATTTGTCCCCCACCCCCTCCATCACCACAAAAAAGGCAAGAAAATAAAAAAGAATTAAACAAATAAAAATAAAAAAATTTGTATGGTGGAGAAATGGGTGGGGGACAAATGGGGTACACCAAATGGTGTACCCCTAGCATTCTTCATTTCCTACGCCGCGGCCCGCGGGTCTTTCTTGTATGGAAGACGTGGCTTGGATGATAAAGAACTAGCTAAAAATTTAAATACACCCTAAGTCTTGCATTGACGTGACTGAATTAGACGAGCACAAACCTAAGAAAAAAATGAAATTGTGCAGTTGAAAATAGTACAGAAGCGATTAAAATAATGTAAGTCACAATTTTCTTTTGCTTAAAATGGGTAGTAAATCTTTATTTTGAAACAAATAAAAAAGACACTATCAAACATTATTACATGAGAGAGGGAGTACTTGATTTTAACTCCTTAGAGCACTGGTAATGGGCATAACGCCCGGGGCGTTATTGCCTCTTTTAACACCAAAGGGGCAGCAAACACCGCCAGCAAACACCGCCCCCCTGGGGCTTCAAAGGGGCTTCATCCTTTATGCTTCAAATGTTTCACGGGCTTCATTCATTAAAAAACAACAAAAAATTACATAAATGCCATAAGACTAAATATTTTTTTTACTCTTTATATTCTTTCTCTTTAAAAAAATAGAACAAACACAAACATAATTTTTTTACTCTATAATTTATTGTTTAATGTAATATTTTTTTGTTTAAATTTTCTTTTGTAATGTAATTTTTTTGTTGTTTTTTAAATTTAACATACTTTTTTATTGACTGTATTTTTTAATTAATGTATTATTTCAGTTTGCAATATGTTACTACAACCCCGATTTGAATGAAGATATTTTTAGTCGCTCGAATAATCAGTAATTTCTTCATAAAGTAATATAATTTTTTATACGGAGTATTTTTGTTTTCATTACTCAAATCTTATTTGGTTAATTTACCTTTTATTGATTTTTTTATTTAATAATTTATTTTCATTTAAATTTAATTAATTGATAAAATGTTATTAATTTAATTTTAGAAGATGTATATTTAAAAATATAAAAAATAGAGGTTTGAAGCCCCGGGGCTTCAAACCCATTTCTAGTGAAATTTTAGGGTAAGTTAAAGCTGATGTGGCAGAGAGAAGGTTTGAAACCTCGGGGCTTCAAGACCATAGTGCTCTTATGGTGAATGGATGACAATCATATATAGTGTGCATCTCTTGCACTTATGAAAAGTATACTCCGTATTAGATTAAATTTACAGAAATACGGAGTATATCATTCAAAAAATACGGAGTATAAGATCATTATTTTTTTGTAATTTGATCTTATGAATTTAAAAAAAGTTACTCCCTATCAAGTAAAAAGTGGATTATTAAATTCTGATTGGAAGTAAACGGACTGATAGAAGCCATGTATTGATTTACCTAATAGGAAAAAATGAGAACTAACAATGTCAAATCCGGTCGTTACAACGAAAATAATTAATAAATCACTTAATAAAAAAGTTTTAATATTTACTTTTTCATTATTTTTATTTCTATTTTTAGAGCAACTTCACATCTTTAATATTTGCTTTATAAAATACGGAGTATTGCAACTCAATTTGTACTCCCTCAGCCCTCATATTTTTGTCTACTTTTTTTTGGGTTGTCTCATTACTTTTGTCCACTTTTTATTTATGTTACCTTAATCGGTTACGTTCGATTAAATTAACAAAATAACGATAGATCTGTGGTGTCGCCATTTGCAAATAGAGGTGGAGCTGTTATGCTCCATTCGTCCAACAATAATGTTTCCTACTATTCGTCTATTCATAGGGTCAAAGTAATTGTTATTTTTAAATTCTATACGATTTTTCATATAAAATGATTTGAAAATAATTTCAGTCAAACATCTTAACACGCAACGAGAATATTATTGTTGGACGATAGGACTCTTTGGTTACGGTTTATCTCCTCTAACACCCTTTGCCCAACCAACTGAGCTACGTCTTATGGCTCATGTGACATTATAAAAGAAGGATGAGCCTCATCTCCGAAAATTCACAAAACCGACCAAACAATTGCTAAAATGAATAAATTAAACTTTAAATGCAGATTGGTAGTAGGGAGTGAAGCATGCACCCTCTATTATATTGTTGACATTATATGATAGTTGTATGTGTATGATGGGGGAACAACATCATCATGAATATAAATCATTATGTGAAGAAACCCCTCTCGCACCTTAGCTCGCGTGCATGCAACATGGCTTTATCTATACTCTCCTTCATCTAAAAATAATTTAATATACTCCATATTGATTTTGTAGAAACCAATAAAACTATGGGAAAAAGAAAATATGATTGACCTTTATTAAGAAATGAAAGAAAAGAGAGACTAGCTAGGAGCCACATAGGAAGTATTTCAATCTCCATTCATTTACATTTAAGTGATGGTTATGATTTTTGTAATGCATCAAAAGTCAAATGACGTACAGGTGTATATAACGTCCATAAGTTATTTTAGGACCCCTAGTCTTTTAGGAAAGATGTTGTTCGTTATTGAACATATAATAATTAAACTCACGCATTAGAGAGAGTATTCAATCAGTATTCCACATTCATTATGTTTGTTATGCAATTTAATAAAATAAAATGTGCATATGCTTTTTTTTAGAAAATATATTTAAAAAAGTTTTAATTTGTGACTATTTGCTTCATCTAAAAAAACATTGTTTTTATAAAAGATTTTGTGGTCCACCGGCATAATGGTGACTCTATCATATAAGACGTCTGAAGTTCCCTCCATCTCATTTTGACTTTTTTCTCATTTTAAGGGAGATTGACTATGACTCTGTTCTTTTATATTAGAATTTCAGAGTTAAATGTTAGAAAAAATTAGAAGGAGTTGGAAGAAATTGGAAAGAATTGAAAAAATTGGAAGGATTGGAAAATATTGAAAGAATTTTAGTGTTAATAAGTCACTCAATTCAAGAATTACTCAAATAAATATGTAAAAAAAATCTAAATTTAGATTAAATAGAATGTGTCATTGTTTGTATCATGTTGTAAACTTAGATATATAATGTTATTGTATATTCATCATATATAAATACACTTTTTAAGTGATTATTGAAAAAAATTGAAATAAAGTAGAAGAAGTTGGTCCGATAGAAAAAATTGGAAATTAACTTTTCCAACATAAAAGAACAAAGTTTATGTCAGTAAAAAAAGGGAAATATGGGTCTGAGGCCCAAACCACCCAGAAATAGAAAGTTGACAGCCCAATTATACAATTACCACTTCTATGAAGCCCAATAATGTGATTCTAATTTCCTCATCTGAACTTGGACAGTTGGACAAAGGCCGTTCAGAGAGTGCTGTTTTCCGATGGCTCCAAAATCGAAATCGAAGCCGGCGGCGGCGGCGGCAACGCCTGCCGTCTCCGTGGAGGATCTGTTCACTTCACTGGATCGGCATATCAAAGGATCAGAA